GAAAACTTTATCAAATCCCGGGATCAAATTCCTGAAATTCTGGCTAGTTTTGAAAGCTCATTCAGGATTATTTAATTTTGAAATGTAAAAATATTGCCCCCTAGTTCCCCTCAATCACTGAACTCTACACTACGTAGTGTAGACTGGTTCAACAGTTCCACACGCTACACTAACGTCACTATGGTTGGAATGAGAGCTCACCTGAGATAGGGGGTACATTGAGCAGTGTTCCGGATTTAGGGGAGTCTCCAAGGCAGGAAAAACCCGCAAAAAGCCCGCGAAAAAGGGGTTCAGAAATTTGAGCAGTCCTGAGATAGGGGGTGCTTTCAAAGGGAGGGAACGAGCATATGCGTACCCTAAATAACACTGAGTGGGGGGGGGGCCGGGACACCCACACACCTGCACAAACACACATGCACACACATACGCGAACACACATACACATGCACAAACACACCCACACACCCGCACAAACACATACGCACACACGCACGTGCACACACATACACACGCACAAACACATACGCACACACGCACACACAAGTACACAGACATACGACACACGAACATGCGCAGTGAAGGCACCAGGCATTGAAACTGCCAAAACAATTCATATGCTCTGCTCAAAAATTAATTTCGATCAGACGATGCACACCCCTGCCTGCTCGCTGTCAAGTTCATCCGGTTTCTTTGTGCAGAATATTGATGCCGAGCCTCCGTCCTCCACATCCGGATATTCGGGGAACTTTCCCGTCTTGTCTCTGAAACGTAGAGCAAAGAGGTTTCACATCCCGTTCTCATCCAGCTTCAACTTCACTCTCATCCCACTCTCCTCCCGTTCCCACTCCACTCTCCTCCCATTTTCACCGTGTTATCCTCCCCTACCCGCTCCACTCTCCTCCCATTCCAACTCCACTCTCTTCCCATTCCAACTCCACTCTCTTCCCATTCCAACTCCACTCTCCTCCCATTCAAACTCCACTCTCCTCCCATTCCCACTCCACTCTCCTCTCATTCTCACCGTGTTATCCTCCCCTACCCACTCCACTCTCATGCCACTCTTCCCATTCATATTCCAATTTCCTCCTATTCTCATCCTCTTCTCTAATTCTAATTCTAACCCAAGTTCTGACCATAACCCTAACACTAACCCTAGACTGAATCCCAACTCCCACCCTTAATTCTAGTACTAACCCTAACCCTGACCGCCACCCCCACCCTGACCGCCACC